TCCGAAACAATATGGCGAAAGTGTGACATGAATTGTGAGGTTAGGATACCCCAATCGATTTAAAGCAAGAAAATTAAAAATAAATATTAGAGTAGTGTGCAACTACAAAACTTGATCAAAGCAAATATTTGTATTTGCTCGCAAGAATGCAAGAACAGAATACGAGTCTAATGTGATAGTACGTATGCAAACGTGGCGTATGAGGATTCATTTGTCCCTGCACGGTTCTCGATCCGAACAAATGCGAAGATACGAGTGCGAAACTTTCTACGTTCGGAATTTAGCGTGGTGGAAAATAATCCGGATAATCTTGTGTATGCCCATTTGGCGGTAAAGCTTCGAGTCCTGAGCCATTAGGTGTGAAAAAGAAGTAAACCACATAGTTCCCTGCGGAGATATTTAAAAGTCGACGCCAATGTCGCAACTTTTTTCCTGTCCCTTTACGCGAATTCCCCGGTAATCCCTAGACCAACGTTGATGCTGACGTAGCTTACGCGAAAACTTTCTTAAGCACTTGTCCGTTTAAGTTATCATAGGATAAGTGGTTGCTGCTTAACTCATCCTTGAAAAAAAGGAAAAGGGGACGCAGCCCTCGCTCGAAGGAGCTGTTCCTTTTTCTCGTTTAGTCGAAAGAGCTGCTTAAACTGCCGAGGGTGAGTCGTTTCGGATTTAGGGTTAAGCAGTTAATTATTGAAACTTTTTTCATAAAGCATCTGGTTATATTCTTAGTATGACGATCATCACTTTATTCTTAACCGTTTCTCATCTTAACCGACCGTGAAACTGGTGATTAAGGTCGAACTTGTAAACGTTCCTGCCTTAATCCTGATTTATAAAAGGTGTTCAAGATGGGATGGGAATTCAAGAGCAGTACTTATTAAAATGAACAAACATCTTAGCAAATATGAGAATATTTACTGTGGCAGGTATTTTGAATTTTTATGTTGGAATTTGCGTTAAGGTGTTGTGTTATAAAATTCCAAATAATCAGCTTACCTTCTTGTGGAACTTTGAACTTAATTTGATAATTTTAAAGTTTTTTAATTTTAGAAATTCAGACATGTGGAAATATAAAAAGACAGCAAATACCGAATTAATCTTAATTTTCAAATTATTAAACTGTCATATGGAAAAGTTTGATCATTTTGAAGTCTGAAAATTTGTACATTTGTAAATTTGTAAATTTAGTAACAGAAACATTACGTATAGAAGTTTGGAAATTAAAATATGTGGAAATACTACATTTTTAAATAGGCACTTCTAAAAACCACAAAAAGTGTTTTGGGAGCTTAAAGAATTGGGAATTAAAAATTTTTAAAATACTTCTAATATTAACATTTCTAAATATTCAAATTATCAAATCATCAAATATTCAAATTATCGAATATTAAAATTAAGAACATGAAAGAGTACAAATAGCTCCTAAACTCATAAAAATATCAATGTGAAACTTATTAATTTTCAAATCCCCAAGAAAGTCAGAATTTATAATTGCAGAAATGTAGAAACGTAGAAATTCTACATTTCCGCGCCGGAAGTACTTTTTCAATTTGCCTCAAACTGTTTTACTAAATCAAACAGAAATGTCCGAAATGGTCCATTTACCCGAATTATTTTCCTGAAGTCAATCTGCAATTGCTTCCGAAATTCAACAATTCCGAAAATTGCTTAGCGAACGGAGAGAAAGCTTGAATTAAGCTGTTATAACTTTTGTCGATAGTTTTGAAGTAGATCGTTTTTTTAGCCTCATTACGTAAAATTTCTAAAATCACTTCTTCGAATCGAAGTTGAATCGAATTTCGATTGTTGAAATAACCTATTCGGTGAAATTATATTCCCGGAAGTTTATCTCGGATGGTTTCTAAAATTTGACGATTTTGCTGGAAGTTCGCCACTTGTGCTAAACGCTGAAATTATTTTAGGCCACAACAACAGTGGAACAGTAACATCAATATTACAAATTCAACAGCTTTCATCAATCAACTCGTTGAATAAGCCGTAACATCGCATAAGCTGTATGTTATTAGAAAGTTCGTGGACGTGGTTGTTTGGACCATAATAGCTAATGTTCGATAAGTTCTAACAACGTTCCCCATACGTTAACAAGTTTCGAGGCTAATGTAATCCCAACAGCAGTGCGTTTTACAGATCCAATTAATTCGAACATTAGATCTGATCGAATAGCCAGACGGGTTCTAACGATCCTTGTCAGTTCGGAAGCAGAAGTTTGAAATTCGAGTAAATCGATCAGTTGAAACCCTTATGGAAGTTCTATAATTCCATCAACTTCAGAAATTACGTGTCAACGTGTTGTGAAGATTATATTCGTTTGATGTCACAATGGCGCTATGAACATTTGAAAACTCTTTGGACAGTTGCTTGATTTCCTTTTTTAAGTTTTCTAAATTTCGAAATTTTTAAACTTTTTGATTTTTTAATTTGATTTTTCTATTCTCAGCGTCATTCCACGCCGAATCGATCACTTTTGGAAGTCACCACCTCCGATTTTGCTCTAATCGAAATATGTTGTAATCCATGTGAAATTGGGGGGGTTTAAGTCATCATTTTGCCGGTTTCGAATTTGTTAAGGAATGACAAGCCTTCAACTTAGTACACTTAGAAATTTTTTTCTCAGAAATTACTCAACCGATTTAACTAAATTTTCTTTTTACTTTATTCATAAAAGATTGGGCTATTTTAAAATATTTTTTTTTAACTTTGTCAATTTGTTATAAAATGTTGGAAAATTTTATGAATTTCCGAATTTGACCTTACCAAACATTTTATAATCTAAAAAGGGCCATATAGTGAGACTCGATATGTCCCATATACGTTCACAATTACTTATCTATTAAATAAAAACCAAATAATTCCAACTATATGCAAACGCCAATGAATTGAAAATTTATTTCTTGGTAAGAAATCATATTATGTTTCTATAATAATATTATGTCTTCTATTTGCAATTATACCACTATTTCAAGAAAACCATATTCCATCTCTATTTCCGCAGCCTACGGATAAAAGAAGATTTTTAAAAATGAACGAGAATCTTCCGAGCAATTTTCTCAATGCTGCACATTTCATAAGGGGTTGATTTCGAGCAAGGTTTGAGTTTCGTGCTCCTCGCTCGGTTAGAAAGCATTAAACGAAGCTTAGAAAGGGAAAGGGGGGAAAATGGCGTAGAAAATGCGTTTCGTTCCGCAAGTGGATTTCACGAGAAGTCTACTTTACTACTCGACTTCGGACGCAGTGTCATTCGACATTAGAACAGGGGATTTGTACGAAGAATTGAATGGCTGGGTGAAAATTGATGAAGAGTGCTCCGCTACTCTTTTCGACTTTGCTGTTCACGTATTTTCACGGTACATAAATTGCATCTGACACTAAGAGCCGTACATTCCGAATACTTTTTTGGAAAGTTACTTAAGTTCTTCTGATCATTGAATCGTTGAAGTTCGCTGAATTGAACTTCAGTTTGAGTGACTGCGATGCAGTTGCAAGCATCAGTACAGGGTTTCCCTCACTTGACTATTTTAAATATCTTGCTTATTTTTTGTGGTAGAAGAAAATGTTATAGGAAAACATTATTTTGTTTGAACTACTATTATGGTAGTGAAGAAACTTTTCTCAAGGCCTTTTTTTCCTAGACTTCAAGAACATTCAAGCTCTTACACGAATCCAATAGTATATGACCGTCACGTAGCCTTGAAGTACAACATTATATAATATTATATAAATATATAAAAACTAGATAACTGATGGACAAAATGAAATAAGTAATAAAATGATTAACAAGGGAAAATTTATTATAATAACTGCTCCAAATGTTCAGCAAATAACACAAAATTTCAGAACAACTAATGGACGAGTCATATAACTTGTTCATTGGTGCACAAGCAGTACTAATACATTCTTTCACATTTTCCAATGTTGAGATGTCGTAAACTAATGTTATAAACTACTGGTTCAATCGCATCCAAAAAAAAAATCTAAACGTGTATGATTTGGTGAACGCACAGCCATCATTTTAAGCATTTGCTACCATAAAATTACCTCCATTTAACTTTTCATTAGTTATTTCACTAGTTATCAACTATATGTATAAGCAAATATCTAATAATAGGCAGATAACTGCATCAGTCATCAAGTTTTTATAAATTTTTTGTATTAACAAAATTTTGCTGATATATTCTTGTGGGCGCCACATTACGCTGATGTCAGCCATTTTGTTTTAATACGTCATACGTATACCAATTGTACTATTATTTCCAGCGTGATAAAAATTAAATAATATTTATAATGAAGCAGTGAGCTATTCTTTTCGTGCTTATTTTAACTTCATAAATTAAAAAAATCTATAATTAAAAATCTAAAATGTTCAGCTTCAGTTATTGATCAATTAAGGAGACTATTCTATATTTATATTTAAATATAGAATAACTATTATATTTTGTACGAAAATGCATATGAATAATTGCTGCTTCATAATATAGTGTTTATAGTTCGAAATACTATACACAGTGACTGATTAATATTAACATGTAGTATTCCATCATTTAGTATATATTTTTGCATAATTAAGTGAACGCATTTTTTATTATCATAAAATGTGTATTCTTAACGATACAACAACTTCAAAAATAAATAAAAATGATTCATTTAATTTTAATTAATTGGCAGGACAATTGATATATTTAATGTACTATTCTTCTATAATTTACATAAATTGTTATATATGTTAAAATGCAAAATATGTTTAAAAAAATGTACGTAACACAAGAATGAGGCACCCCTCCTGTCTAATTGCATGACATAATCAATTATCAGCTATAATTTTTTAAAAATAATTTTATATTATACACGTCCTCTAATAATCCTTGTATATGTTACCGCAGTTGTAGCAGGAATTTCGCCGATCAGCAGAAAAAAAATAAAAAATTGGCATAGATCGTACAAAATAGTAGCCGGCAGAAAAAGTCACATCGTTTTGTTTCCAGGTGTTCGCGGACTTACCAATGTATCTATCGATATTCCATTGGCCGTAGCAGCTGGCTCGACCGTCAATATGACCTGCAGATACGATCTACAATCAGAGCCTTTATACACAGTGAAATGGTACAAGGGTCCTGAATTTTTTCGATACATACCGAAAGAGATGCCATCGTTCGCTGTTTTTGGAGAACTGGGTGCCAAAGTCATCGTAAGTATTTATTTTCAACACTTTCACGTCGTGTTTGCGAAGCAAACACCCGTTACAACGAGCGAACACGATAGTTTATGGAGGCACTTTAATAGAATTGGAAATGAAATTTGTTTGCGAATAAAATAAACTGTAACGTTGATAAATAAAAATTAACGTTATATCGTTTGGCAAAATATTCATTTCATTTTGTTAGAATTTTTTAGTATGCTTGAATGTTTCATTCCGTATGTATGAATTTTTCATTATGTTCCAATGTTTAATTCAGTGTATTTAAATTTTTCATTATGTTTGAATGTTTAATTCAGTGTGTTTGAATTCTCCATTGTGTTGAAACGTTTAATTCAGTATGGCTGAATTTTAATATATGCAATTATTCTTTCAATTAAAATTTTATATGAAATAAAATGAAGTATAGAACTGATGTTAGATATTCGAAAACAAAATGTGAGGTGCGAAATATGATTTAAAAAATATGGAATTGAAATGTATTGTAGGTTTAATTTCATTATTTTGCAGGTATGCTCAGAAAGTTTCAAACTTCTACAACTGTTCTGTAGAAGTTCAAATGTTTTTATTGTGCAGTAAATTTGTAAAAATATGTTTTAATTATTTTATAAGACAGATACATGGAAATTTGCTGCAAGGGTGGATATAGAATAGACTGTACCTGACACTTTGTTGAGAATGTTTTCTTAAATAGTCAGATTTGTTAATTAGTGAACTTAGCATGTTCAAATTTTCAAATTGTAAGTTGGAAAATTTTGAAGTTTCCAACTTTCCTAACATCCAAAGTTCAACATTTGTAGTCTCCATGTCGCACCTCCAAATTTTAAATCCCAAAATTTTGAAATCTTAAATTTATTAAATACTCAAATTATAAAATTTGCAAGCCTTTAAATTCCAAAATTTCTAAACTCCTCACTTTCTAAATTCCTAAATTCCCAATTTCTCCAAATCCCCAAATTTCCAATTTCCAAAATCCCAAGATTCCAAGATTCCAAAATTCCAAAATTCCAAAATTCCAAAATTCCAAAATTCCAAAATTCCAAAATTCCAAAATTCCAAGATTCCAGAAATCCAAGATACTAGAATTCCAAAATTCCAAACTCCCAAAATTCTTAAATTTCTAAATTCCCGAATTCTCCAAATTCCGAAGTTTCCAAGTTCCAAGATTCCAGTATACCAAGATTCTTAAATTTCTAAATTCCTAAATACCCATATTATCGAATTAAAAAGTTCCCCATCTCCCAAATTACAAAAGAGTCAATATCCACATGCTCGAATTTAAAATTGACAAGTTTCTTCATTTTAAGTTTCCACGTTATTAAATCCCCAAATTTTCAAATTTCAAAATATCAATAGTTAAAAATTTCAAGGATCCAAATATTCACTTTTTCAAGTGTTCTAATTTCCAAAGTTGCAAACCAATTTCCATTTCTCAAATTTTCAAATTTCCAAAGTTGCAAACCAATTTTCATTTTCTCAAATTTTCAAATTTCCAAAGTTGCAAACCAACAAATTGTTATATTTCCAAATACACAACTGTTCAGGCCTTTAAATTCTAAAATTTACTCCATCGTCAATAATAAAAATTGCCACACACAATAGACTTATTTATATTGTTTTAAACTTCACTGAATATGTCTTAATTCTATTAGGATACAAATATTACTTATTCTCATTAAATAATTAAAATTGTATACATGTCCTATACTAAGCTTAAAAATATTTTGTATAGAAAGAATTGAAAAATAAATCGGTGTAATATTCATTCCACGAAGTCATTTAATTTAATTAAATTGTGGTTGCACGTTCTTTCCAAAACCTTAAAATCAATATCGTTTATTGCTTCGCTTACCACAATTCAGTGCATTTTTTCTGCAGTTATCAATTTTCGATAATTGATTTTCAATCGTTCGTTCTATTTTTCAATGGTCAATTTCTAAACATTTTTCAATATTTCAAAAATTCTTTTAATTTTTCTGTTATTTGTTGTAAATTCAACTTTTCCAATTTTTCATTAAATTTTTCAATTGTCAGTTTTGCGTTCAACTTACTAAACATTGATACTGTTTCTCAATTATTCATTTAATTTTTCAGTTACTTGTTGTCAATTCAATTTTCACCAACTTTTCATTAAATTTTTCAATTACCAATTTTTCATTCAATTTACTTCAGTTATTCCTTCAATTTTTCAATATTTTATTTTTAAACATTCAACCTGCTTCTCAATTTTTAATTCAATTTTTTAATTACTTACTGTCAGTTCAATTTTCCCTAATTGTTCATTAAATTTTTCATTGAATTTTCTTCAATTATATATTTTCAATCAATTTCACTTGAATTGTTTACCGCATTTTTGCATAATTCATTTTTAATATGCAACTACTCAATTATTTATTCAATTTTTAAGTCATGTACTCTCAATTTAATTTTTTGCATTCATTTTTCTTATCTTTTAATTGCAAATTTGTATTATAATCCCTTTCAATTATTCATTCTACTTTCTAATGATCAATTTTCAATTTAATTATGTTCTCTTATTTATTCAATTTGTTAGTTATTTGCTCTCAATTTAATTACCTAGATTCATTTGTCCCATTTTTCAATTGCAAATTTTTATTATAATCGTTTTCAATTATTAATTCTATTTTTCAGTTATCAATTCTTAATTTAATTTTGCACAATTAATTATTCCATTTTTTGTTTATTTATTTTCAATAAAATTTCTTTATGATTCATGCTATTTTTCAATTAAAAATTTTTTAATATAATCCTCTTCAATTATACATTCCATTTCTCAACTATCAATTTTCACTTTAATTTTGTTGCCTTATTAATTCAATTTTTCAATTATTCATTTTCAATTCAGCTTCCATTGGTTATTTATTCAACTTTTTCTCAATGTTTAATTCAATATTCTACAATTATTTGGTGAGTTATTCATCAATTTATCAACTTAATTTTTTCAGTAACTAATTTAATTTCTATATAACGTAATTTTTTGTCTTCATTTTGTTCGTGATACGTTTGCGTTTGTGCAACATATAAATTACGGTTTAATAATACGAATAATTAAATCTTAATTAAGTACAAACGACTTCATGATTGTGTAACATTAGCGAATTGTGCGCGAATTGTTTCAAAGCAGAAACACCCTGAGAATTTCTTACTTATTAAAAGTTAGAAGGCGATCTGGTGCGAATCACGCTTTACAATCACGCCTGATGTGAAATCGTCTCAAACAGGGAAACAGAAGCAAATTTCCCAAATTATATTTCCCCAAGTTTTCTTAAGCGTTCAAAAGTTTGTTTTCATGCCATACTTTGTTCAATAAATCTACTTAAGAAATGAGAATTTGCTTACATCTGCTTTTGAAATGTATAATTAAATAAGTTACCAGTATTTTTAGCGAACTAAAAGGGAAATCCAGTTTTTAATTGGAGAAACTTTCTTTTTATCCTTAATGAGGTGCTAATTACACCAAACCGTAAAAATTTTAAATTAGACTCATTTTGTTGCTTGGTTTTCAGTTTTTAAATATGTAATGTTATCAAATTTTACGTAATTTTATTACTTTTTAGATTTCATGTAAGTTTATTGCATTTTTTCATTTTTGGAAAAGTATATCTCTGAACTTTTACAAGTGGTGAAAAGATTATGTTAATTAAATATTTGTTCAGGGTTAATTTCCGTGGAATAAAAGAAGCACATAACCATGTTTAAAAATATATAATATAAAGGATAATAATACAAAAGTGAATACAAACTAATATAAAGAACTAAAGGAAAAACTATCAGTGCTACTACCGCACATCTTACTTCTATAACGGTCGCAACGGAAGTGGGGAGAACTGCACAAAATCATGGCCGAAAATCGGCACGCGTCGAACCTACGAAATCAAAAGTCCCTAAACTAATCCCATTGCCAATCTTAGAACCAAACGGACGAACAATTTCAGTTATCAATTCTTAATTTAATTTTGCACAATTAATTATTCCATTTTTTGTTTATTTATTTTCAATAAAATTTCTTTATGATTCATGCTATTTTTCAATTAAAAATTTTTTAATATAATCCTCTTCAATTATACATTCCATTTCTCAACTATCAATTTTCACTTTAATTTTGTTGCCTTATTAATTCAATTTTTCAATTATTCATTTTCAATTCAGCTTCCATTGGTTATTTATTCAACTTTTTCTCAATGTTTAATTCAATATTCTACAATTATTTGGTGAGTTATTCATCAATTTATCAACTTAATTTTTTCAGTAACTAATTTAATTTCTATATAACGTAATTTTTTGTCTTCATTTTGTTCGTGATACGTTTGCGTTTGTGCAACATATAAATTACGGTTTAATAATACGAATAATTAAATCTTAATTAAGTACAAACGACTTCATGATTGTGTAACATTAGCGAATTGTGCGCGAATTGTTTCAAAGCAGAAACACCCTGAGAATTTCTTACTTATTAAAAGTTAGAAGGCGATCTGGTGCGAATCACGCTTTACAATCACGCCTGATGTGAAATCGTCTCAAACAGGGAAACAGAAGCAAATTTCCCAAATTATATTTCCCCAAGTTTTCTTAAGCGTTCAAAAGTTTGTTTTCATGCCATACTTTGTTCAATAAATCTACTTAAGAAATGAGAATTTGCTTACATCTGCTTTTGAAATGTATAATTAAATAAGTTACCAGTATTTTTAGCGAACTAAAAGGGAAATCCAGTTTTTAATTGGAGAAACTTTCTTTTTATCCTTAATGAGGTGCTAATTACACCAAACCGTAAAAATTTTAAATTAGACTCATTTTGTTGCTTGGTTTTCAGTTTTTAAATATGTAATGTTATCAAATTTTACGTAATTTTATTACTTTTTAGATTTCATGTAAGTTTATTGCATTTTTTCATTTTTGGAAAAGTATATCTCTGAACTTTTACAAGTGGTGAAAAGATTATGTTAATTAAATATTTGTTCAGGGTTAATTTC